GATGTAATAATTTCATATTTAAAGTACTTTCAGAAGTTTGAATTCTGAATATGAGCGACTTTTCTTTTTAAATCTAAAGAATCAATTATGACTTTAAATGTGAAAATTGACCATGAAAGTCAAAATTATGGTAATTTTATATCTACTAACAATGGCACACTTTATTCCATTTTTTAGTTGCAAGTCATAAAAAAGGGCTTCAAAAGATATGAAAGTCTTGTTTTTCTTTATAAAAGTCTCATTAATTTGTAAATCGGGTTCTAAATTCTGCAACAGGTGGTGATTATTTTCTGAATCTGTTCTTTTTCTGCTTTTTGACCCACTTTCTTTGTTTTATGGGTTTTTTGCGACAAGCTTGTAAACATCTTGCGACAGTCGCCGCTTTTGGTGGTAACCGAAGCAGCCAATCAGGTAGCAGATCACAGGCACATTTTGGCACCTTCCCCAGAATTTAGAAGCTGGTCTTTTCCGGTGAGGCGGATTTACATTTCAAAATAAAATGTAAAAAGATTTCAAAATTCGAAATAAAAGAGATCAGTTAAGGTTGTATGGTGGCTCAGTTAGCTTACAGCAAAAAAAAGGTTTTTGGTTCAATTCCCAGCCTTGGGTCTTTCTTCATGGAGTTTGTATGTTCTCCCTGTGCTTCCATGGGTTCTCTCCTGGTACTCCAGCTTCCTCCCACAGTCCAAAAACATGACTGTTAGTTTAATTGGCATGAATCTTAAGATTTCCACTTGCTATTAGATGTAACTGCAGAAGGTAAGATTACACCTATGACTGAGGTGTTGAAAACATTTCTGATGAAAATGTCCAAATATTTGATTTTAAAAAATTTGTTCCGTTTTTTTTTTTTTCCTAAGCTGTCTGTTTTATGTTTTTGTGAAAACCTTTTAATATTACTAATAGGAATTAAACATAATAATATATTTCTATCATGTATAGATACCAGTAGCTCAGAGGTGTCGAAAGTTTTCATGTTTATTACTTCAGTAGAAGTATAAGTCCTTTTTAAAAACACTTTTGTAGAAGTTAGAGGATTAGTATTAAGCTTTTAACTACACTAAAAGTTTAAAAGTAACATTTTTAAAACTAAATCATACAAATAAAAGTAATACATGGGGAAATGTTAAGGACAGAAGCTTTACTGCACTACCCTATTAAAGGAACATTTTTCTACCATTCCGGATGATAACTTCCTTAGAATTAAGTTTAAGTTAAGTTAGTTTCAAATTAAACTTTGCTTCACTTGAAAAACAATTTATATTGCGCTGTGGGGAACAACAAGTTGGGGCAGCACCGAGTCCAACCACAAAGAAATTGAATGTCTGGATTAAACAAATTATTCGGATGTTTTTTTATTTTTTATTAAATACCAAAAGGCCATAATGAAAATAAGCTTAAATAAAACAAAACTAACGAGTCTATTTTTTAAACTTTAGGAGTAGAAAGTAAAGATAACTGCAAAAAAAATGTAAGAAGTAGAAGTAAAAAGTTAAGATTGCTACTTAAGTGAGTGAGTATGGCTGTGTATTTATTACATAGTGGGGACAGAGGCGTAGCCAGAAACTGTTAATAAGGGCGGCCAGGCATTAACCGATGGACACTGAGGGGTGACTGAAAGCGGATCGGCGCCAGAACATCAGGGTCAGTCTGCACTGTTCCAACATGAATGAGAAAAACACGTCCATATTTTCTACATAAAGACCAACTATACTTTTCTACAGCCTTTGCTAACAGTCGGCCTCAGCAGATGGCCGCTCACACTGAGCCTGGTTCTGCTGGAGGTTTCTTCCTGTTCAAAGGGAGTTTTTCCTCTCCA